AAATCATGCTTCACATTACATATTGTTTTTATTTCATCTTAAAGTTGTTTAGCGGGCGAATTTTTATGTAACATACTCGTACGACTTATTTATTTATCTAAATGTTGAAAGTTCATTATCCTCGTGTAAATATTTTTGTATATGAGCATTTAATACAATTACAGACTCCTTGAGGAGGTCACACGCACGCAATCGACACATATGGAGACACATTATTTTCAATCATTTATATATGTACATTATAATGTATATACACGTACATGAACGTATATGGTGTGGTCACAAGGTATTGACCCTTTTTTGTCTGCGAACGTATGTTTTATACCTTTGAGGAAAACATGCAATTGAAGGTTTTCGTTTTTTTTTTTTCTCTTTTCTTAAACACAGACTTATGCACACATACATAGTTACTCCGTCAAGACTCATTTACAGACTCCCCATCGAATATATATATGTTATTGCATTTGTGTGTGTAACTTTCATTAGTTCAACGAAGACTGCTATCGATTAGTTTCTGTATGTGTGATTCGTTTTGTTTGTTTGTATAAGTTTTCTCTGTGTGTCCGTATTAATATTTGTTTCATTTCATTTCTTCGCTTTCTTTCAACTTTAAGAATCTCAGTCGTGTTTCATTTTTATACAGTTTAACAGCATAGTCTTCGCCTATATATACATATATACATATATATATATATATATATACCATACAAGAAAATCTTGATGCCTTTAATCCAAGGATCGTACTGATATATGTGTTTGTTTGTTTGTCGTCGTCATTGTATTACTCACTCACTGCTTTTGTATTTCACAAAAAGGTAAATTAAACTTGATATTTTTTCGCCAAAAAAAAAAAAAAAAAAAAAAAAAAAATTATTTTATTAATGCGTCTTGGCGATTGTGTTGGTGTGTGTGTGTGTGTATGTGTGCATGCGGTTTTTGGTGAACAGACGATTACGTACTTGACGACATGATGTCTGCAATGAGACACATTTTTCAAGATGAAAAACATACATACGCACACTATCACTTTTGCTGTTACTGATACAACCAACCAGTGGCATTGAACTATTTAGCGAAATTACAGTTGTACGTTTCGTTCATACTTGTATATGGTGGTTTAGTTTTCTTTTTTTTTTTTTTCTTTTTTTTTTTTTTTTCTTTTTAAGTTCCTAAGTGGGTTAAACATAAATAACATAAACATTAAAGAGTTGGCTTCTTTTGAGGTTTACTTTTAAAAGAGATTTCATTTAAGTTTAGCCGTAAAGCTTCACAGAAATTATTTTCTTAATAAGACTTTTAAAGCACATTAAAAGATAGGTTGAATTACAAAAATTTTAGTGTAAAAGTCTTTAAAAATGTTTAACGAAATGATACGGCACATAAGCGTTAATGATGCCAGTTTGATTTTTCGTAATGACAGGTGCTAAGCACCTACGAAATAGATGAACTAATAGTTCCCCCGTTGAGGAGTTTACATGCTTTAGTGTAAAGTGTGCTTCTAAATAAACATCGCCTAATATTATCTCGCTATGAGAACAGGGTCAGTTGTCTTTACAACGGTTTGAGTAAGAATTCGCAATTATTGACGTGTTCCTAGCTATCAAAATGAAGAGAACATATTCAAGCTTGACGTGCATATGTCTTTAATTAATGATTCTAGATTCTAGGACAGTCACCTTAGTCCGCTCCCATTCACGATATTTTTAAATGACCTACCTGCATATATCAGAGTCGTAGTGCTTAAAAAGTCGTCTGTTCATTTGCATCTATGGCAAACCATTTGACTTTATTAATTTGTTCCAATGGTATAAGTCTTCTTTGTTCCTTTGTTATTAAAGAAAGAACAGCTAAGAACACTGCAGTGCCGCAAGAGCGATCACCCGATACTCTAGTAAAGCTATTCACTTCTTTTGGTAATAATACACCAAAAAGGTCGTTTCTGGAAGATGCCCAAAGCAAAGCAAGGCGTGATCCAAGTTTAGCAAACCTACCTTCCGTAAATTTTATTATTTTTCAATTCCCGTCATAGCAGAAACCGGAGTTAAGGTCCAAAAAAATAGACCCATCTGATTCAATTTCCCTACCCTTAGCTTTTTTGTTAAATTGCTGGTATGGATCACTTTTTGTCACAAAATTTTATAAATTAAAGCTTCTTCTGAAGACGTTACCGTTCATAAGAGATCTTATATAGAATGGGATCAAAGAAACCCATGTGGTGAAAATTTCTTTCTGTTCTAAACAAATTTTCATCATAAAACGTCATTAGGCACAATTTGTGAAAATTGCAATTTCGCCTTACTTTGAAAAGTAGGTCGAGTTGACCAGAAAGTGAACCGATCGGAACCATGTTCAGTGGAGTTCGCTGGCAGGCTGATTTTGAATCGATCGGTATAATAAAAGGGGCTCTGTCTTAGTCCTTTTGTGTGTTACGCACATCCGCACACAAACTTTACATACCCTGTACTGCAAGTTGTGCAGCGTATAAAAATACTGTAAGCTATTGTTTTCTTGGTCTGCTATTACTCCGCGTAGCGACTGCATTGATAGCTATAAGCTGCATAATGTAACCAAATTGAATGACTTGGGAGTTATCCTTTATCCAAACCAACTCACGTCTGGGCCTTATAAAGAGATGGTTAAATGAATTTTATGATGCTTATGCTACCGAAAGCTTACATGCTGCCCTTGTTCGACCATTTTTGTAATATACATCTGTAGTCTAGATACCAAGTTATACATGTCATATTGACTTTTTGCTCAACGTAGCTTAAGATGGGCAATGCTCATTGATCTGGCTGCGCTAGAAGATGTAACGCCTTCCTCTTTTTTACTAATCTGATTTGGTGTACCTGCAAGATTGACTAGCCACTGTGAAATAATTTATTTGTCTCATTGCCGCATAACTTATTAACTTTAGAACCTCTTTCCGGATGCTTTCGATGATATACAAGGCTTTGGTTTCGTTTGTTTTGTCTATCGCCGAATTCTAAACAAGTAATCAAGGAAGCCGCTACCATCGAAAAATTTTATGTTCTTCACAGTATAATAACACTTTTATCTCTCTGTTTATGGCTGGGCTTTAAACGTGTATGAAAACTACCTGGAAAATATTACATATTATAGTGGAGCTTACGTTCCTGTCTATTGTCAGACGTCATAAAGTCACGCAATGAACTCTTTGCGCCACATTCCTGTACCAACAAAATCGAGAAAATATATTTTTCTACAACGATCACCTCATCAAGTACAGTACTTTCTTCAATGCAGTTTTAGAACAAGGGCTTCGTGCTGTCCAATACATATACATAATTGCAGGTGAATTGTTTCAACTAAGCTCACGAATCGTAAATTATAAGGAGGATGATAATCGCAACCACTGAAATGTCCTTGACAGCAAAATAATTACACAAATTTCAAAATATTATGACTTTGCACGGTGTTTATAGTAACTAATCTAAATTACATTAAAAGAGACATCACTGTCTATTCATTTTATTGGCTTCTTTTTTTTTCTTTTTTTTTTGTTTAAAATAATCGGTTTTCAAGTTGCGCTTCAAGACTAAACCAAACTTCCTGTGTGACATCAATAACTTACGCAGAGAAAATCTAGATTTTATGTTTAGTTATTATTAAGGGCAAATATTTCAATCAGTCAGCCGACTGAGTCAATTATAATTAAAACATTTTCATTCGCATCATCGAAGGATGCGGAATATTCTCATTTGGTCAAACCGGCTGAATAAAGCTTCGGAGACTCTATTAAGCATCTTGACAAGCATTAAATTCTAAACCGATTTAAACATGTCCGTCGATCTGTCTGCCTGTCTGTTTGGGTAAGGTCTGTAGCAAACAGTTTCCTGATTGCAAAAAGGGAATTGAAATTGAATTTGGCTTTTGCCAAAGTACGCCCGTAGTACATCATAACTTTAAACCCACACAGAAAGAGACCCTATACAGCCTATATATGGTTGATCGAATGTGAACTATTTTAGACATATTTTTCAGTCCGTTTGTCGATTTATCTGGCAATTGCTTTGGTAAACATGGTTACAACAATGGAGATATTTTCTTCAGGCACATGTTATAAATTTTCACTTATATTTTGCAAACATGAGAAAAATCAGCTACGCCGATACTACAGAATATGGATATTTAAGATTTTTTAAGTTTTACACGATAATGCAAAGCGTACATGTCGCAATATTCATGTTCATACTTTAGCACAAGTCATTATTCTATCATCAAATTTCTAGAACAGATTAATTAGCCTTTACGCTTAATGATTTCACTTAGTGAGTGACGACGTGTACGTATCAAAGGCTGATTGCTCATGTTGATTATTACGATTTTTATAACACCCTTTAAAGATGGATGTTACTGGCTTATTATTTAAGCACGCTATAGGACTAATAATTTAAGGAGCTGAGAGGGCTCCACTGGTGATGTGATCCTAGAAATATTTGAACGCTTAATGCTCCCAGCGAGGCCTCACAATCAATTACTGCCACCTGAATAGTCTGCCATTCTGTCATATTAACGCAGGGTTGGAGAGCTCCATGTAGGCGGCAGATCTGGCCACACGTTCCATGATGTAAAATTTGCTTCCGTGCGCATAACTCTTAAATTCATTTGCAGTTATAAGAAAGCTTTTTACGCTTAGTGAGCGAAAATTGCATATTTTTATCTCTTCATCAGATTGTCTAGTAGTCATCGGAGTACAGCCACACCATATATATGGATGTTCAGCTTGTTTTAACTTGTTTAAAAGTATTTTTACCTCGATGCTGGTATAAATTGTCTCCTGTTCATAAAGTATGGCTTATGGAGGAGGCGGTTTTCGTATGACTGGCCGACTGATTTCTCCTGTGAGCTAATAAGCGTCGTGGATTTTTGAGGCACCATATCGAATGATTTCTTCTATATTTTGGGCCAATTGATGGTGACATGCAAAAGTTCGTTTTGCGTTTTGTTATGGCCAGTTTTGTATATGGCCAGCTGACCTTTCCAGTTTGCAAGGGATCCGATGTTGAGGAATTTCGAGAGTTGCGATTAAACATAACTGTAGGTGTGTTCGTGGCTTTGCTTAATGCTTGAATATTAATTTTAATTATCTGAAAGAAAAATAAAAGTCATGATATACTTCAGAAATGGCAGCCGCATATTGGAGAGACCTCAACCGCTATGCGGGTCCCGTGTAAACAATGCTAGGAAAATGTTTCTTTAAAGTTTGAATTCCCTGTGTTATGGACCAAGAAAAGACTATGTGTGTGTGACAAGCACTACTGTTTTCATGTAATAAGTAGGAAAGTATCGTGCAATTGTGGAAAGGTACCATAGACGATAACTTGCAAAACTCAAAAACCATAACTGATGTTGCGGTCATTTACGTAATGGAATTGATCGACTGTGTGCGTATTGTTAGTTTCTGCCATCGCCGAAAGCATCCTTGCCGAAAACTACCGAAAATATCCCAAAATATAGATAGAAGATAATTTGTAGTGTGGTGATGGGTATCAAGGATCCTCGCCATAATGAAGATGATTCTTGAGGATTTTTTTCTTCTTCGCCATGAGCGTTTCTCTGCAATAGCAGAGTTACTTGTGTTTTATACTACTATGCAAACTGCAAAATATACGCTAATCAAAATTTTAGCTGCGACTGTTTTAAACTTATACAGTAGTTGCCAAAAATGAACCTTGAATTCCGTTTAAGTGAACTTGCATTGCCCTACAGGAAGAGGAAGTTTGTTACATTTCTTCGTCGAGATTTCTTTTGAATGTTATCATTTAGACGGCGGACAGATGATTGGTAGTTAATTTTCAATTCATTTTAAAAAATTGTTTTTTTATGTTTTCTTTTTCAGCTAAAACTTGAAATCGTAACTTATAGTGTCCTTGAAAAACTTTAACTTATAATTTAAATCAATGTAATTTTCTTGAAAAAGAGAAAATAAAGCAAAAGCCATCCCACGTTACTTATATATTTATACATAGGTTTTACGGTCAACATTGACATGCGCAAGCAGCGGATATGTACATTTAATATTTAACATTCTTGTTTAACAATTATGACAATTTATTGCTCATTAAATACAAACAATTTAAATACTACTTATAAATCTTGAGAATACGGCAGTATAAACAGTATAGAAAGACTGAAGGAGAAACGTACGGGAAAGAGAGAGAGAGAGAGAAAGAGATAGAAAGATATGTAGTATTAATTTAGAAGCCTCAAAAGACAACCGCCATAAAGGTTGACAAACGAATGTTTGCGGTTTTATTCTTTATTTTATTTTTTATTTTATTTATTTTTTTCTTTTTTTTTTTTTTGCTACAAGAAAAGTGTCATTCCATCACTCACTTAAAGTATTCATCCATTAATTGCCCAAAGCTATTGTAGAAGCCATTATAGGACATCATACCAAAGAATGAAGACAACTTTAACAGACTCTACGGGCAACAGAATGCAAACAGACATGCAGAAGAAGTCGTTCCTGCTTACTACTGGTGCTGCTGCTGATGATGCTGCTGCTGCCGCTACTACTGATATTGCTGTTGCTGTGGTTTTTAGCGAATTGATGGATGCATGAAAACGCATATAGACAGATGAGCGAGAGATGGACAGACGGACTATCAACAATTACCATGAGATGTGATGAGTTAAAATGAAATGAGTTGTCGAGTTTTTACCTTTGTTGTTGCTGTTGTTATTGTATGTCTTTAGCAATTGGAATGGAAATATGTTTAAAGTGTATGTGTATTCGTAAAGAGAACTTAACAGATTTAACAAGATAGTAATGCAAAACTTTACAAAATACTTCACTTGCAGGAACAACAATAACAACAATAACAAAAAAGAAAAGAAAAAATCAAAAGAAAAGAAAAACAACGCATAAATACTTGGAGGCCATCACTGTGCATTGTGTACCCCTTTAGCTCAAGTACAGTCTATATAGGTAGATTCCCAGTTCAAATTTACCTGACAACAACATTTAAATGATGTTAAAATGATTGCACGGAAGATTTAAAAAAAGCATATTCGTGGAGGCTTTGAAATTTTCGCAATTTTTGAAACGGACTGCACCACTGTTTTGCTTTGGCGTCCCTTTTTTTTTGCCTTTAATGTTAAGGCAAAAGTTTGTCAACGCGATTGAATAAACGACGAAGTGAGCAAAAAGCTCACATGATTGGATGCATATCAAAGTAGACAGCAGTCCTCAACATTTATCAGCAACAGCAACAACAACAACAACAACAACAACAACGACAACAACAAATAAAACAGCCGCCTTTTTAACTATCAACTACAGTTTGACAGTAGTAGCTGTAGTAGTGGTGGTATGGGCTCCAACTTGCGAGCAACAAAAAAAAAAAAAAGAAAAAAGAAAATTTTTAAAAAAAAGGAGAAAAACTTTTCTTAGCCATAAGTTTATTGAAAGTTTTATTTTATGTTAGAGCATAAAAAGTAAGAAAAAATACCGCCTATGTCTCCTCTGCTTAGTCCTAAGCACATATATATGCGCAAATGGTGCTTGTGTTTGTGGCTTTGCAAAGCTTTAAAATTACATTTCAAAAAATGTTAAATTTTAAGTGGTTACTCCTTGAGTTCTGTGGTGCCTTCTGCTTCTTCTTTTTTTTTTTTTTTTTTTTTGTTTTTTTGCCTTCTCGTTCCGTTTGACATTTTTTAACTTTTTTATTTTTCTTCTTTTTTTTTTTTTGGGCTTTTATTCTTCCGTCATTACTTCTGTTGGTGTATTCTTGATTTTGTGTTTTTCTTCTTCTTTTTTTTTTTTTTGCTTTTTTCACTATGATCTTTGCGATTTGTGTACAGTGAGGGATTCTTTGGAGCCGCCTTTTCTTTTGTATGCATTTTGTTTGCATGTATGTCTGCATGCGTGTTTATACACACATTTTTTCTGCTAACTTTACTCCAAGGCAAAAGTTATATGCATTTGTGTATGTGTTTGTGTGTGCCTGTGCTCTTAAGCCATGTCTGTGACTGTGTTTTATGGCATTGATGATTAGGTTTTTGTCGCCAATCGGAATGTCGTTTTTAGTTTAGAGTGAAACGCTAAACATAAGCATAACAACAACAAACAATGATCTTCTCGTTATATACGTAGTAGTTCTGCATACAATAATACGTACACGCGTGTATGCAGGCATGCCGCATACAAAATGGTGATCTCTGCAAGTTCAAGACTTTTTTGTATTCTGTTCTTTTATATATGCACGTATATATGTATGTAAAAAGGCAAGAAAATGAAGAAGAAAATAAGAAGAGAAATATTTTTTTTGTGATGGAATTCTTTTTCTAAAAAAAAAAGAAAAAAGTACTATATCGAAATAGATTTTATAAAGAAAATTTTAACGTGAAACTTTTATTAAAAATTTTATAAGACATCACTTAACTTATCTTTTTTTTTTTATTTATTTACTCTATGAAATATGGGAATATATGGGCTATCTATGCCATCATATGTAGTCACATCCGAACAATGCAACATTACAAAAACCATATACACATATATAAGCCTATTTTTGAGTTTTTCTTTTTTTTAATTTATAACAAAAACTAAACAATGCAAGGTATCAATCAACATGACATAGTTTTCCCGTTGTCGATATTGGTTCGTGTCATTTTTATTTAAAAATAATTTCATATAAATGACTTCGTCTTGACTTCTTGAAGTCTGCTCTTCTTCTAAGGTAAGTCTTTGCGAGTTCATAGCTTTTTGGAGTAAGTCAATGCTCCAAGATAATCCAAAAGTAAAGAGCCCAATAATCCCTTAGGAACGTCCGATGTATTTTTTTTACACCAAACGGAAATTGAATCATTCCATCTCTCGAGCTTGAGAAGTCGAGTCTCTTTGATATCTCTGTTGCTGATTCCGATTTAACTCATTTATTGCCCATACCAAATCACAAACCCGATTTCGATTTCGAATTTGAGCATTTCAGAAAATGACGTATTACAGGGCTTAAGGTCACTTAAATACAGTTGTGCGTCTGGAACTATGTTATGTTATCTCAAAGATCTTTAATTTTTCAGTGACAACAGGTGCTTTTCAAAGTCTAATCTTCCCTCTCCTTCATCCCTTTCGTAAATTTGGAAAAAGATATCTATCGGATCGACAACTGTATACGAAATGCCAAGTTAAATGTCTCACCTAAATTGTTTGAACGAATTGTTACTCAGCTATTATGTTTCGCTATTAAATCTTTTATTTAACTCCATTACCTTTTGGGATCGTATCCGTACCTACTTCAATTTTAGATAATTTGGAGTTAGATAACTTAGTTACATGATGCCCACTAGATTTTATGAAATTAAATTGAAAAACACGTAAGAAGCTGTCATTTTTGAAGAGACTTCAATTCACTACTGATTATTTCATCGATTGGAAAATTTAGATTTGTTCATGGAGGTAGCGGGCTCATTCGACCATAGGCTCTGTTTTATTTTGCAAATTGATGCCTCTTCAAATAAAGTTATCTCAATGCTTGGTTTTATTAAACGGTGGTCTAAAGATCTTGACGGCCCTTACATTACGCGCTTAGTGGGGCCAATACTTGAGTATACGCCTGTTGTATGGTCTCCTTTATCATAGAGGCGCTATGGAGATTCAATAGAATCGCTTCAAAAGCAATTCCTGTTCTTTGCGTTTGAGAATTTAGGCTGGGATCCGCTTGTCTCTTTGCCTCCTTATGAAAATAGATGCCGTTTGTTAGTCTCACCGTCACTTGAGAAACGTAGATCTATACGCCCTGTTTCTTTTTTAATTAAGTTAACAATTGGTAATACCGACTCGGCGACATTACTTACAGAGATAACCTTCAATATCCCGAACAGTTTCTCCGCGGACATTATATTCATAAAGCTTAGTCAAAGTAGATATAATTACGAGCTTTCCAATCGTTTCAGAATCCTTGGTAAAAATCTAAACGGTATCTATAGTTTATAATCTCAATAAAGGATTCTTTATATTTTATCAAAGACCTGCCCCCCAAACACGCGCGCTTTGCCTATGTCGTATCTAGATTAACTTCTAATTTTGATATCTTTGTAGAATTAGAAAAGTGAACTATAGTTTTGTATGCTTCGCATGCTTTTTTTGTCTTCTTATTTATTGCAGAGAATGGATTTGGACAAATATAAAAAGGTCGCGTGCGAATTAAAGATCGTCGTATCAGGATAAAGTGAACCGAGAGCATCTCCGTTTTCAAAAACTATAAGCATTTTTTGTTTATTATTATAACAGATGCAAAAAAAAAAGGGGAAAATTGGGCTGGTCTCATCCAATATCAAAATTTCATACTTTTCCTGAAACGTTCCAGCAGAAAGCTTTCAGAGGTCGTCTAAGCCATATACATTTTTGATCAATATAAAATTCTGATATTTTACAGTCTGCCGATTAGTTCACCTACTTTGTCCACATGTCCGTTCGAATGTCTGTCTGAGGTAAGAATATTGTAAGAAAATTCTTAATCATCTACTGAATATTCTTTATGTAAACTCTTCACAATCTATTCGTCGAACGTAGCGCTTCCTTTTATCAAATTGGACAATAAAATATTCTCTAACAATCGGAAGAAGTCGAGTCCGCGATTGAGGACGATGAGGAGGATGAATTGATGATGATATTGATGAATGAGACGTTGAAGCTAATATACACTGCGAGCATTGCTGGGGGGTCGTTCTGAAAAGAGCCAATCTTGAAAAATAGAATTATTCTTGTAAATTTTTTGTGTCAAAGCAAGCACCTTAGGAATTATCCGCTTGTCATATGTAAATAGCTAGGAGATATTTCCAATTTTTACGAACGTTGGCATACAAATATGTTTTTGAATATTTTGTTATATCTTACGGCAGTTTGTGAAACAAAGGTTCATTAAATTTGGGCGGATATATACAATACGCCGAATGACTTCAACCAAACTCACAGTTACTATATCGATTAAGAATCACTTTTTAAGCCTGTCTGTTCGTCTGTCCATTTGTATACGCGGTTTGTCTTGTGCAATCTACTGTCGGGAGTTTTTAAGATACTCCGATCAAATTCGGTACAATAACGTCTCGCGGCCCAAGGAAGAACGCTATTGAAAGTGATTTGGACTGGATCACGTTTTCGACCACTTCTTGTAACCCAAACGATAGACCGATATGCTCAGCAACTTCTCTAATAGTGATTTGACGATTTTTAATTAAAATTTTCTTCATTGCTTATATGTTTTCATCGCTTCTTGACGTGCTGGGGTGTTCACGGCCGGTATCGTCATTTATATCTTCTTGGGCCTTTGATCGAAGTAAATTCAAAAATGACGCAGCCAACATTTTAAGTGAGTTTGAAAACCTAATTTTATTTTTTATTTTTAAATTTAATATAGATTCTTGAACCCTTTTTGTCGATGCAAAAATAGACCTGTGTAATCCACACTGCCTACCGTTAATTTTTCTGCCCCAATGCTACTATGAATTACTTTTCATCATAAAATATTAAAAATTGAGCTCTTTCCGAAGGGATTGCTACTCATAAAATGTCTTATATAGAGTGGGACCTACAAATAGACCCATGTGATTCAAATTACGTCCACTTA